TAAAGGAGGTTTAAGGAGCTCTGGTGGTGCAACAGTTAAGTACTTGTCTGTTAACTGAAAAGTTGGCAGTTTGAACCCACTGAGTGGCTCTGCAGGAGAAAGACCTGGCAATCTGCTTCCATAAAGATCACAGCCAAGAAAACCCTCTGGGGCAGTCTACTCTGTCACATGGGACCCCAGTGAGTTGGAATCAATTCGATGGCACCCAACAATGACAAACTGGGGTTTTGTTCTCTATGTAACAGGGGAAACAGTACCAATAATAGGTGTATAAAATCGCAAAACGAAACCAAGGATTGTTCACAATGGTTAGAAATTCTCTTGTAAACATCTTAGTTCAATACCACAAATATTTATTGAATAGGTATGTAAGGCACTGAATAAGGAATTGAAAAATGTTTTAAGATGAGTGAAAACTACTCTTGGATTTGAAGGAGTTTGTAATGAGTGGAGTGGAACAAATGTATAACTTAATGAGAAGGCAGAGTGGAATTAACAACAGGGGAGGAAGATAATATGGCGGTTTCAAAGAAGAGATAGCTGGTTTGGGGGAGTTCAAGGAAAGCTGCAAAGAGGGAAAGGGAATTTTTGAAAGGTCTTAAAAGATGGTTAGGATTTGGTAACAAGCAAATACTAACAGAACAAAGTTGCAGGAAGATAGAGGGAGAAAAATATGTCCCTGTTTACAAAACATGTGTAGCCCAGGTCAGCTGTAGTACTGTGAGCAGATTCCAAGTCTGGGGAAAGATAAAGCTAAAAATTATGTTGATAGGGCTCTGTTGCAGAGGGCCTTGAACAAATGATTTTAACCTTAATACAGTCACCTCTGGAGATCAATCAACAGTTTTTAAGTTGGAGATGTCAATGGAATATTGGAGAAAGGAAGCAATAAAATAGGAAAATTAGGCTTTGCAATTACACAGATGAAAATTGACAACAGTCTCAATTAGCGTGATAATAGTGTAAACAGAAAGGAGAGAATCAACAGATATTTTAGAGACTGAAAACTCAGGATTTAGCAACTAAAAAGAAGCAAATGCACTAGGGAGGCGAGTGGAATGGGGGCAGCCAACAGTGAGTGGTGAGGGAGAAAAGATTTAAAGATAATGCCAAAGCTGGTTTGTCTAGGACAGGAGTTTCCCCACCTCGGCACTATTGACATTTGGGGGCTGGATAATTCTTTGTTGTGGGGGGCTGCCCTGTACATTGTAGGATGTCTAGCAACTTCCCTGTCCTCTATGAGACGCTAGTAGCACCCTTCTCCCCAACTGCCCAGTCATGCCAACCAAAAATGTTTCTAGACATTGCCAACTGTACCCTAGGAGGTAAAATCACCCCTGGTTGAGAACCACTGGTCAAGAATGGTTGTGCCATTAGTCAGGGCCTACCAAAGAAGGTAGGAGCCCTGGTAGTACAATGGTTAAAGCGCTTGGCTGCTAACCAAAATGTCAGCAGTTGGAACCCACCAGCCACCCCACAGGAGAAGGATGTGGCAGCCTGCTTCCATGAAGATTTACAGCCTTGGAGACCCTATGGGGCAGTTCTACTCTGTCCTATAGGGTCACTATGAGTTGGAATTGGCTCTTCAGTAGTGGGTTTGATTTTTTGGGTACCAGAGGAGATACAGGTGTCTGGGTAGCACAAGCAGTTCGCACTTGAATACTAACCGAAAGGTCAGTGGTTTGAACCCACCCAGTGATGCCAAGAGGAGAAAGGCCTGGCAATCTGCTTCCATAAAGATTACTGGCGAGAAAACCCTATAGGGCAGTTCTACCCTGTTGACACGTGAGGTCGCTGAGTTGGAATCGACTCAACAGAATTTGGGCCAGAGGAGGTGCCAAAATTGCTCTTCAACCACAATCTTAAACTTAAGGGGGCTGCACATTTTTTGGCCAGACATGTCAAATTTGTGCAGGAGAGCAGATGAGATCTTTTCACAAATGTTTGTATCAGTTTTAGACATACTACATCTTTCAGCAGGAGTTGTATGCCCCCTAACCATAGTTACGTAGACAGTCCTCACAAGTGGCAAGCCATCTCATCAATAAGGAACAGCAGTTTCTCAGACAACCAAGGAAAAATCATCTTTAAATGATCATTTACGTAATTCCTGTAGTTTGAAGTATCTTTGAATAGTCATCCATATTGCGTCTATACCAAAAAAAAAAAAACCAAATTCACTGCCTCAAATTGATTCCGACTCATTGTGACCTTATAGGACAGAGTAGAACTGCCCCATAGGGTTTCCAAGGAAAGCCTGGTGGATTCAAACTGCTGACCTTTTGGTTAGCAGCCATAGCTCTTAACCACTGTGCCACCAGGGCTCCAATTATGTCTATAGCTTAATTTTACAAACTTGAATATTACAATTGCATAGCCTGGTTAATAACCCTTAAAATCTCTTTCTTCATTATAGTTTTATGTTTATATTGTGGTCTGCTTTGTAGTAAGTTGTTGTGTTTTCCTTTTTTTTCTGCCATTAGTTTTACTTCTGGTTCACATTATTTCCCAAATCTATTTGTATTTAATAGACCAGTGATTACGTTTTTATTAGCACTGGATTTTATGTTTTTGATACTAGTTTTATTTAAAATTTAAAATAACTATTAATCATACACTGGAGTCCTTGGGTGGTGCAAATGTTTAACACACTTACTAATCAAAAGGTTGGAAGTTCGAGTCCACCCAGAGGATCCCAGAGAAAGGCCCAGAGATCTACTTCTGAGAAAACAGCCACTGAAAACCCTATGGAGCACGGTTCTACTCTGACACACATGGGGTTGCCATGAGTTGAAATTGACTC